TCAACATCTCCGTGTTGGCCCGAGAGAGAATAGGGCGGACTCTGGCTATATTTTTTAGATGATAAAATCCAATTTTGGTTACATGTTTAATATGTGGGATAAAACCAAGCTCAGAGTCAAAAATAACACCCAGGTTTTTCACTTGTACCGAAGGACATAGTGAAAATTCCTGTAATTTAGACAAGAGTTTCTCTCTCTGAGCCTCAGGACCGATGATTAAAACTTCAGTCTTGTCCTGGTTAAGCTGTAAAAGGTTTTCTGCCATCCAAGATCTTATATCTAAAATATAGTTAAAAGGGCATCCATTGGTCTGGTGTCTTTAAAAGAGTGAACCCAGCGGGAAAAACACATTTTGATGTAACCTGTGCCAACATTTCTTTTTTAACCACTTAAACCCCACGCCCCCGGTACCGGGGGCAAAAAGGAGGAGATCACGTTTAATCGATTATAACGCGGGTTGAGAAATATAAGTCCAGACATGTGTGGTATCCACAGAAACCTCAGAATCTCAGCTAAAATGTCATATAAACCATTTCTACAACTACCAAACACACCGAAAACAAGCCGTGATTAATTGAGCAGTTACGTAAATGCGCAGAAGTCCGCTAAACAAACCGAACCAGAAATTCTACATTCATGTAACCGGCTAAAGATAGCCTGGTTAGCTTCCAGGGCTATCACTGACTCCACACACCAAGTTTCACCACGATCAGACCAAAATTCACTGAATGAGCCGCAAAAGAAGACCACAAAAACACACAGCGGCGCAAATGCGCTAAGACAGAAATTGGCTTACCGTCATGATTCCCTCCGTTATTTTCCGCCGGTAGCCACGTGATTACCAGTAGTTACCATGCCTACTTAGCCGCATCAGAGCCGTTTTTGTCAACAACCTCCATTTTAGACCCACCTACAGACACGTGACTGGACAGCAGCCACATGCAGTAAATCTGGGCCCACGTGGGTTTTGGCATTACAACGTCTGATTGGTTGAAGTGAGTGAACGTGGCATGTTACAGTGAATCGATTGGCTCAAACGATTAAAAAGAGGTGTCAATCACGCAAATTGACCAAAAGAAACCAAAGTTACAGCCGCTTGGAGTTTAAAGGGCCAGAGGCCAATCAAACGCTCTATGCGCACTGCAGAAAAGGGCCATTACCATGTAAATGTGTGGTTAATTCTTCAAAAATATATTTTTAACAAAAGCATTTTTAGGCCTGTTAATAAAATTTTATTAATTTCTCCTCTTTAATACCTAAAAAAATCAACAGGCATGATGTCCAATTGTGTACATTTTTGTACAACGTCTGGATATTCATGTATTGACAGGGCTGTAATTTTTCACTCCTTCACTTTGGAAACATAAATCTTTGCACAGATGATGTTTATATGTTGGTTACTGAATTTCTGGAACCAAATGTGATCTGAGCCATATTTTT